TCGTTTGAAACTTTGTCGTAATAAAATAAGTCATTATTTTTTAAAATAAATTTTAGCTAATACAAGGCTGGAGAATCACTCAAGGAAGGGGATTAATGTTAATGTTGAATTATTTTATTACGACAAAGTTTCAAACAAAGAGATCTCGGAAAATCAGCATGCAATAACATAGCTTAGACCTCTGTTACAGGTGTGAAGTTTTTTTAGTGATAAGGTAAGCCTATCATAAACCTTAATTAGGAGAATTGCTTTCTCACCTTCAAAATCAGAATTGTTCAATAGAGCCCTTTACTGGATTACTATCATCGATGGAAAATATGTAACGATGCAAGCTACATAAATAGCTGTAGTAGTATTAGTAATAGTAATTCGGCACTCGATAATTAAAAACATCAAAGATGTAGATAGTAGATGTAGATATTCAAAAAAATAAAAAGTAAATTAATGAAAATTTCATTGCAAAATTGCAGGAAATACTTGGAAGGCCGAAGAATCTAGAAGGCGGAAGGCATTTTTAATGCCATGTCTGTTCAGGACATTGGCACACCATTTATTCTTTTCTTTAATATCTGTGGATTGCTTCGGCTTCCGGAAATAGATGGTGGAGTAGTTTCTAGATTCCACATAAATGCAGAAAAAGATATTTTTTTCTCAATTCAATTGATTACACTCTTAAAAAATGAATTCTTTTTCTCTTTTCAGCTTCCTGTCTAATCTACAGACATCTTTTTCTACTTTTTTATGTCATTTCAGAATATGAGCGATCATAGCTTTTCAAAATCACTTTCAGCTCTGAACAATGTTTTTCTTTTGACTATCCCTCCAACTCCCAGTTCCGCCAGCCATTTATACAAGCTTGTTAACTAGGTTAACCGCTTTTTCCACTCTGACTTTTAACTCTCCAAGCCTTCTTTCCTCATTGGGCCCTAGAATTTATTTAATAGAGTAGTCCTTCTCCTAGACTGACGATACCAGTCTACTTTGATATTTAACCTATAGCTGGGAGAAGAAAAGGATAGAGTGCTGCTTTTTCAAGTGGCATTTGAGAAGCGCGAAAGAAAAAAAAAACTTGGCGAAGAATTGAACTCGACGTGCCGATTCCACTTCCTGTCCCCATAAGTATTGTGCAACCAGAACATCCAGCCGGAAGACTGTGTGAAAATGTGATATGGAAAACGCTATAAATACGCTATCACGGCTTTCTGGGAAACGATAGTCCTTGTGCTGTGATTTATATAATTACTTCTTCGGCAAGACTGGCTATTTAAAAATTGTCATCGTCGTCGTCATAATGTTTGATATGCAAATAAAGAGTGTTTTATTAAGATGAATCAAAGTCAGCAGTAAATAAATCAGTTTTATTGGTGAAAATTTATTTATTTCTCTATTGGATCATGTTATTTAAGTCATGGCAATTATGTGTAAAAAATAATATCGCCCAAATATCCGCAAAGGCCTCGGCGGCACACCTCCACTCGATGGTCAAAATTTTTGATGACGTCTCTGCATCGTTGGTCCTCGATCTCACCAATATGCCTTATTATCTCATCCTTCAGCTGTTGAATTGTTGATTTCTTAGCATAGACCTTATTTTTGAGATGACCCCAAAGGAAGAAATTTAAAGGTGTCAAGTCGCACGATTTGGGTGGCCAATTGACTTCGCTGTTTCGAGAGATGATGCTACATGGGAAATTCTCATTGCATTTCTGTTTGAACGTCCATTTTCGTAATAGGCTTTGATAACTTTACCACGTTGTTTGATTGTTAATCTTTCCATGGTTGAAATTGCAAAAACTTTTGTTACATCTGAACGAAAAAGAAAAAATCTTTAGACGCTTAAACTTAATTCACATTTAAAATCGGTCCAAGTTAATGGAACACCTTTTATACAATAGGGGAAATTAGTGGTCATTTTTGCGTCTTGTCTATTATCAGTGAATCACGTGCATTCTTGGAACATAATTCCGGGTGTTTAACGTACATCAATCTGTTGAAATGTCTGGGGCAAGTAATGACGAAGGAGAACTTGGAAAACCTGATACTCACAGAACAGATTGAGGGACAGACGAAAGCAACGTGTAACATACTTGATGGGAGTGAGTAAATAGATGGTAGAACAGAGTTTGGGACAAAACTTATTAAGAGCTACAAAAGATAAGAAGATATGGAGGGCCATGACCGCCTACGTCCTGAAGGGACATGGTACATAAAAAAAGATGCTAAATCCAGTTAACCCTTTTTTATTTTATTTCCTGATAAATTAGTTCTTCAAGATTTCAGTTTTAAAAAAAATTGGTTTGTTTCTGATTTTATTGTCACATGCAATTGTAATATTAGAACGTGGAATCACAGAAATGGCAATGGACGAAATAACTCTTTCTATTCAGGAATCGTTGGGCACTGCTACTGTCGGTTCAAATTCATAAGATATTTTTCTAAAGACAGTTTTTCAGGAAAATAAGCTTCTGAAGTCCACTGTTATTGTTCTTTCTTGTACTGATTGGAGTTTCTTTCCTAACTTTATGTTTAAGGTAGTGTAGAACAGGGGTCGGCAACTCTTGGTATGCGTGCCAAACATGGCACACCGATAACTTGTTTCTGGCACGCGAAATATATTCGTTAGATCCCTTTTTATTCTTTTCCTCTTTCATGTATATCATTATCTCATTTTTTTTATTTTCTTCCCTTTACAGATTGTGCAGAATGTTACGATAATTAGCTAAGAAATGATGTCATTCAAATGAAGAAGATATTACAGAATTTAAAGATTATTGGACTTAAACATGTGGTGTGATTAATAAAAAAAAGCCTTATGCATTTTCTGTTCCGATACAATCATTTGTAGGACTTCTGATAAGGGACAGTTTGAAAGTTTTCATAAAAATTTAAGTAATAAAGCTGAAGAGGGAAAAAGAGAATGAATGAAATGAGAAAGACAAAAAACAGACTGATACTTTTATGAACTTTACTTCAGGTAAGCCCAGCTCCAACTTAGTTGCTGCTAGTTTTGAAATTTCAAAACATTTTGTTGGCATGTGGAAAAATTTTGTGCCAGAGCTTTGGCCGGTTTTGGTATGCACTCTCAAAAAGATTGCCGACCCCTGGTGTAGAAAGTCAACCGCTTGATTGTATCATTATTTTCCCCTCGAATCACATGTGCTAACCATTTTAGTTATTACTGCTCATTAAATTGATGCAATTTCTGTTATTTGGTAAAGTTCTTTGTTGGTGATTCTGTGAAATTTAAAGAAGGTTAGTCTTCTTAACGCTTTGAGCCCTAGCCGGTGGTAAAAAAAAAAAAATGACGTAATGCCCAGCCACCGGTTAAAAGATGGCTAAACACTTGTAACTATTTTTATATCTACCGTGAATCATTGCATACCAATTATTTACGAATTTTGATTCAGGCGCTCAGAAGGGTTAAAATTTTTCAGAAACCCAAGGCTCAAAAGGTTAAAAACCAAACTGGGTTCACTAGCTTGAAACCATTTTTAATCATGGAGCTGAGAAAACAGCCCGTCAGATCAATTTTCAAGTCGTATCATATTCTGCATGATTTCAACTTTAAAATGTTGGGCTTTTTTTTAAATTTCAGGACGTAGTCGATCATATCTTTTCACAACTTCCTATCCTTTGTAACTCTAATAAACATTTGTCGCCTTACTGTCCCTCTCTGCACATTTTCTGTTATCCATTTACAGAAGATCGTTAGCTAGCTTGCTTACTGTCTCCCTTTTCCTCACTTGCCTTCAATAAGTCACGCGAGTGTCAAATTTTCCAGGTCTTCTTTTCTTATTATCTGTCTCATAAATTTCAACTTTCACTTTCTGTTCCGAGATGTAATCGTTCTTTTCGTTCCCATTTCCCTTAAAACTTCGTCGTTTCACACATGGCTTGTCTATGACATTCACAGCATCGTCCGGTAGAAACTCACTAAAGTTCTGCCCTACAACTGCGAGGAAAAGTTCCAGCATTTACCGTCATAAAGAAAGATTGAGAACGCTTAGTTTTGTTTCAAACGAAATTTTCCGGTTTCTTAATATTCCGTTTAGTTTTCGAAAGGCATGTTCCGTTTTTCTTTCTTTCTCTCAGTATCTTTCTATTTGCCTGTATATACGGATATGTGTGCGTGCGTAAGTAGTCTTTCTTTCCTTCTCACTCACTCTTTGTCTGCATATATATATATATATATATATATATATATATATGTGGTGAGATGAATAAATTGTCTAAATTACGCAAAAATTAAAATAACGCTATCTTAATTTAACAAATATATTTACCAAAATTACACAAATATGTCTTATCAGAACGATCAGAATTAGATTTCTAAGCTGTCATGTCTTCGTAATCACCATTAGACTCATCCAATTATGTTTCTATCCACTATACTGTGAAATGTTCGTATTGGAGCTCCCGGTGCGTATGTTAATACGGCATGTGGTTTCCAAAATTATGACAGCGTCAATTGCGCCATCGTGCTATTTTCCTTACAGACGGTGCCCAACTGACACTACTATACTGTGCAGTCGACAAAATCAAAAACAAACAACGCGCATGCGCGAAATTAAAAATATAAAATGTCGCAATTTACCCATCGCACCCTGTATATATATCTGTGTGTTCGTACGTTCTTTCTCTTTTTCCATATCTTTATGTGGCTATATATGTGCGCCTTTTCTGTCTCCCTCTTTCTTTGCCTCTCTCTTACATGTGCACTGTATGTGTACGTCTGTTATTTCCTTTCTCTCTCTCTCTCTCTCTCTCTCTCTCTCTCTCTCTCTCTCTCTCTATTCTCTCCTCTTATATATTATATGAATTTCCTTCGGCTTGCCGTGTCACATTTTCCATCGTCTGTTATATATTAAAATTTAATACACACGCCCACATTCATTATATATATATATATATATATATATATATATATATATATATATATATATAGAAGAGAGAATGAGAGAGAAAGAAGAAACTTACGCAGATCCATACATATGCACATGCTAACAGAGAGAAAGAAAGAAAAATCTTTGTACACAGACAAAATGAGAGAAACATACAAAGAGGGGGAAAAGAAAGAACAGGCACTCACTTATTGGGAGAGAATGAGAGAGAGTGAGAAAGAAAGAAAGAAAAGAAAGAAAGAAAGAAAGAAAGAAAGAAAGAAAGAAAGAAGGAACACATACATATACATACATACATACACACAGACAAATAGAGAGAATAAGGAAAAAAGACAGACATAAAAAAAGAAAGAAAAAATGGAAGAAAGAAAGAAGGCGTACACACAGACAAAATGAAAGAGATACTGAGGGCGAAAGAAAGAACCGGCGCACACATAATGAGAGAGAATGAGAGAGAAAGAAGGAACGCAATAATACATACATACATACATATACACACAGGCACAAAGAGAGAGAGAGAGAGAGAGAGAATGAGAAAGAAGACGAATACACAGATAAAATGAGACAAGGAGATACTGAGTGAGAGGGAAAGTACGAACAAGAGTACATGTATAGTGAGAGAGAGAGAGAGAGAGAGAGAGAGAGAGAAAGAACAAACGTACTTACACACGCACATATAAATAGGATGATAGGAATCTGCACCATGCCACACAAGCAGGAAAACCCAGTAATGGCTGTTAGAATTCACGCACACATACGCGCGCACGCGTACAAGCACACGCACACACACACACAAACACACACATATATATATATATTTATATATAGAGAGAGAGAATGAGAGGGAGGAGGAGAGAGAATCACAGAAAACATATTTTCCTTTAATAAAACTACTGCTATTGCGATGTGCGATATTTAAAAACACTAGAGATAAAAAAAAATATTAGAAAAAGTGATAGAAAGCCGAATGAAGTACTGTCCTGGGTATGACGATAAACTACATCCGACAGCAAGGCCTCTGATTCGGTGAGTGAAGGTTTTGAGGACTACGGAACCACCTCTTAACTGCTGGCGTTCCCAGGTCCACCCTGACCCGGGGTGGTAGTACCTGTTAGGGTCCCAGCTATAGGTAAATAGTGAACTTTCAAACAAAAATCAACAGTACATTTTTATAATGAAATGACCAATATATTTTTATGGCAAAATGACAATCAATGCAAGACTTAAAAAAAAAAATACATTTTTATAGTAAAACTATCAACATTATATTTTATGATCTGCAAATTATATATTAAAAAAAAAAAACACACCTTCACCTTGGAAGTAAAAAACTATGTTCAAAATATCTGTAGCTGAATGCACAAAATTGCGTACAAAATATTAAGAGATGTTGATATGCTGGTAAACAAAATTAACTTAACCTAACGAGAATGAAGCCGGCAAGGTTATGCATTGGGATATATCGGATGACAAAAACTTATAAATTTAAAATTAAAGCTAAACTTCTTTGTATCTTCAGTTTTTCTCGGTTTAAAAGTTTAAACGGCATTTGCTGTGTTTCTTCCCTCGTATGTATCGAGTGTAACAGCAAAATTGTCCAAATCGTGTCACAGCATAATTATCTACCCCATAAAATGTTTAATATCTAAAAAAAATCCACTAAACTATTTGAGTTTCTTTTTTTACAGTTTTTCAGATAAGACGTTTAGCTATCTTGTCACTGTTTGTCATAAGAATCACTGAAAAAACCCTTTGAGTTATTCCATTAGAAAGAGAACATGTTAAAATCGTTTTGTGTCAGCCCCACTATCGTCTCAACTGAGCAATGGCGAGAGGAAAAAATCATTCTGACCTTCAGTAATGGTACAAAATTCATACACTGGCATCCATCTTCAAAATCCATTCAAGAACTACCAAGAAAACGGTCAATAAGATTAAAAAAGAGGGAACGGTAGAGAGAAAAACTGGACCAGATGGTTACAAAAGCAAGAGGGATCATCATTTCTCTAATAAGATCAATTAGAAGAGATCCATTTCAATCCATGACGTTTAGCAAGTGAGGGAAGAGTTTTAGCTATGACAGTCCAAAGGTCAGTGAAAAAAGACTTGAAAATAAAATCATACATGAAACGTGAACAACTTTTTACTCCAGGACAGAAAATTAGATGATTAGAGAGGGCAAAGATCATCTTGAATAAGTTGGAAAATGATCCTGTTATAATATATACATATTTGAACTTTATTTCAATCCTTCATTGACCTTCTGATTAATGATTAATTAATGATGAACATATCATTTTCGTTTATGATCGATGTCATCACGATTCTTCTGTTAAACTTGGAGAGTAATTACACATTCTTGTTACTCAAAGTTTAGTCCAATAATGTCACGAGAACCTCGGAGAATTCCAGTAAGATATCTTTAATCATTTCTAAGATACAACGGTTCAGAACTTGATCTAACAATTAGAGAATTTTGCTGTTACACTCGGTATATGACTTCATAAATAAAACAATTTCTAGTCTGAGGAAATCCTTTCAAGACATGAAACAGATAAAATAGAAGGGATTTTTTTTCATTTTATTATTCATTGACTCTGTAAAGCTCTACAAAAAAAAAGGAGAAAACACATTTTTATACAATAATAATAAACGCAGAGATGTCCGTTGATGACAGAAGCAGACGTTTCAGTTTACACAAATATGCGAAAACTCCCATTTAGATAAGAAAGATTGTGAAGGCTAATGACATTATACAGATTGTCTCCCCAAAGTTGACGTCATTTAAAATGGGAATATCTGAGTAACTACATGTCCCAGATAAACGAAATTAAAGAGGCTTCATGATAAACAATAAAAGAATTATTTATAAAAATTCGGACAAGAAATTCAAAGGAATGTAGATTTTATAACCCATTCGACAAAGATTCACAAATGTTCAATATGCGCACCACCCGTGACAGGACGCACACCAAGTCGGTAGTCCAGCTCATGCCAAACACGCTGTAGCATGTCTAGCGTAATATTCTCCAGCACCATTTAATTTTTGGTACCATGCCCAAATCTGCTTTTTTGTTGGTGCAGACCACATCTGATTAGAAGCTACAACTTAAGTTATGAAAAAAACATTACTCAGCTTATAAAAATAAAATTCTTAAATAAATTCCACTTCACTCTGAAGAAAGTTGACAGAATATCCAACCAATAAAATCTTAGAAATGATTGCTAAGACACATGGGTTAAACAATTTAAAAGTTGTAAGAGAACAAAAAACACTTATACCTATGTAAATAAAAATGAAAACTAACAGTAGCTGAAGAGTTCCTGGTTAAAAGCTGAGACAGAGGTATTAATAATGGTTGCACAGGACCAAAGTCTATTCACAAGGAATTACCAGGCAAAGTTAATATAAATGGTGAAGATACAATATGTAGATTATGTGATCAAAATGTTCAGACTATTGATCACTTGTTTTGTGTTTTTCCAATGTTGATATCGAGAGAACACAAAGATCGATATAATAAGATTATGTAGTTGGAAGATATATTGTGCCACATGCTGAAAAATTATATGAAAATTATTCAGAACCAATCGTAGAATATTGATACATTATCATCTATATAATACTATATGTAGAGTGAGTGGTCATGGTTAAATGGAAATAAATGGTAGAACTGCCTAATGAACAGAATTGATAAAGTTCGTAATAAGCAATAACAAGAAAACAGGACAGGGCAAAAAAAAAATAATATAAAGCAAGCAAACAATATATGCAAATCAAATTAACAGTAATAAGGCGAAGCAACAGTAATATAGCAAAAGTTCACAAACTAATAATTGGGTTTGACACACACGAGCAAGTTGGAATAAGCGAACGTAGTGTTCTAACTTCAAGACAAGACAGATCGGGTCCGAGTCATACGAAACCGATAACTAGCATGTTTTATTGGCTAGGAAGAAATCCCAGCATGCATTTGTGTGCTTCTACCTATAAATTGAGGAGGGACAAGTATTTTGCAATTATTCAGGTTGAATTGGAACCAAAAACCTCTATGTATGTATGTATGTATGTATGCACGTGGCCGAGTGGTTCCAACGTTCGCATTATGACCATGAGACCCGGGTTCGAATCTCCCCATGGTCAATTTTTCAGGAAAGAGGAGGTTCGGTTACAGCGTGCGGCACCTTTGGAAGGTGGTTGAAAACCATACCACGGGTTGATCCAAACTGTGTGAGTGAAATTGGGTAGACAGAAACCTCGGGGCCGTCAATAGCTGTGCAAGCCCGAAGTCACAAATCATCGTGGCAAGGGCTTCAGAGTGCTGATTTTGTTCAAATTGTAGAAGACCGTGACGGTGAAGATATAAAGGACATGCGTGGGTTAAAATTTTCTGCTAGCCAGTCCAGCTACATGAGAATGTTGGACTTTAATTAAGTCCAAAGAAGACAAAGAAAACAAACAAGACCAATAATTATATATAAACAAATATATGTATTAACAACAAGTTACAAGCACATGGACAGTTACATTGAGTTTGTGTGGTTAATATTATGTGTGTGTATTGCGGTGAGTGTTCGTACGTACGTGTATTGATATTGTTCTTAGCGTGTTCCCAGAATTTGGGAAACGCTGTATTGGTGAGAGCTCACATATTGGTATTAGCTGAAATGAAAAAGAAGAGAAAGAATTACCTCACCTCCACGCGAGGTGGGTACGGCCCAAAGCCTGAGGGAAAAGAGAGATCGAGGCAAAAGGTCACCCAGTATTTATAGCAATATAGCTGGTGAAGGGTTAAGGAACTAAGGAGGAGCTAACTCCGACAAAATTGCTGATCACGCTAGATAACACTCTCTTTATATTATAGAAACTCTAACTAAGGTCTGCTCAGCATAGTTGCAGTATAAACCACAGGTGGGCTCTGTGGGTGTTGAATAAGCACAAATGCGCCTAAGCAAGCGTCTGCAATAGGGATTGGCTAACCGCACTACTAGACGGGTATCCTCGAATACGAGTGGCCAGATATATATATATATTTATGTATGTATGTATGTATGTGTGTTCCGAGATACGGCTTAAACAATACATAATACCCCATAAAATCTTTGAATATATTGTACCTTGGACTCCTGCCAAGTACAGTGTTAAATTTATTTAAAATTAGACAAGGGGTTCTTGAGCTAGGACCGTTTTTCCGTTTTTACCATATTTTTAATAGGAAATTCAATATTTGTTTTCGATGCACATTCTTATATCAAGCCGCGTATATAAACAGTTACTTGAATATTCTATTCCAACTATTATATGTATAAAACTAATAAATATTCATAATACATTATAACAACATTATTAAAGAAAATTAAATAAGCATCGCGCAACATATATTCATACAATTCACTACACTACATTACACTATACTACGCTACAGAACTTTTTTTTATAAAAAAAAAACTCCTTGAAAGGTGAAGAGGCTATATGTGTAACATGACTTGATAGTAAATAAATAAATAGATGCATGCTGATTTGCTGTGGTTGGGAATTTTGAAATAAATGCGAGGAAGAAACAAATGTGTATAATGAAAAATATACTTATTATTTGGAAAAAGACTACAGCTTTTTGAAGCTATTACGCCAAATTTTCACATAATGAAGTGGAACAATAAATATTCTCTACCGTCTTTAGTATTACCTATTCATTTTGTATTCA